TGCTGTTCTGCCTTCCCTAAATCCCAGGGAAGAGCCCTTAGTGATGCTTTTCCTGCTTCTTCCCAGCTGAAGACAACGTTGCTGGGAAGCTCCTCTCCTACAACCGAGCCAACCGCGCCGTGGCCGTGCTGTGCAACCATCAGAGGTCCGTGCCCAAAACCTTTGCCAAATCCATGGAAATCCTGCAGACCAAGGTGAGGGAGACCCAAGCTGAGGGCCCTCGGGCCTGATCTCGCCTCTGAGTGTTTAGTTTTTGGGCTGGGGGGAGAAGGTGATGCCCTAAAGATCAAGTTGATGGAGCTCCTCAGGGATCGAAGTGGGAATAGAGGAGTTTAATCAGTGCAGAGCCAGGGGTGGAGAGGGATGGGGTGAGATCCAAGCTCAAATGCTTGGATGAAGCCCACTTGGCACAGAATTTGGGGGGGGGGGTTTATGGTTTTAGTCTCCTTTCATCGCTTGGTGTCTGCAAACCGAGCTCTTTGCGATGCCACAGCTGGCTCAGGACCAGGGGAACTGGTTTTCCTGTCTGACTGCAGGAGGAGCAGCTGGAAAATTCATGGATCTGCTCTGGAAATGCCTCAAATTACCACTTTTAATTGTCCTCAGCTTTTGCTCACACTCCACTGAGGGACTGGGACTTTTCAGAGGGCTCCAACCCCGTCACAAATCAGTTGGGCTCAGGCAGAGATGAACAAATTTAGGAGCTCCAAGCGTTTCTGGAATCTCTTGGCAAGATTCTAAGAGATGCTTGAGCCCAGCAGGTGCTGCAGGGGCAGGTTTTTGGGGCTGGTAAGAAATTTAAGGAGTGGGAAGTGGAAAAGGGAGAGGCAGCTGTAACCTCCAGGGAGGACCAGAGTGTGTGGCCTGACTTGATTTTTTCCCCTTCCCAGATCGATGCCAAGAAGAAGCAGGTGGAGGAAGCCCAGCAAGAGCTGCAAAAAGCTGAAGAGGAGTTGGAAGACACAAAAGATGCCAAAGCAGAGGCGTGAGTGGCTCTGCCTTGGAGAATCCAGAGGGATCCCTGCACGGAGAGCCCCTGGGTGGGGATGGTTTGATCCAACATCCCCCTTTGCAGTTCCCGAGGGCAGGAATGCCCAGGGTGTGGGGGATCAGGTGCCTCTTGTGGAAGTCTGGAAGATGGTTTTGAGATCCTGTGGGTGGTTCCTTGCAGGGAAACCTTCCACCAGACCTGGTTGCTCCAAGAACCATCCAAGCTGGCCTGGAACATTTCCAGGGATGGGGCAGCCCCAGCTTCTCTGGGTAACCCCATCCGAAGGTTTTGAGGGTGATGGTCTCTGGATGTTGGATTTTGTGTTTTGCCCATCTTTTGGTGGTGGAAATTATATATTATATTAAAAAAAGGGGGCACATCTTACCAGGTCAAAGTCCTGGAGAAACACATCAAGGTTTTTTGATTCTTCCATTCTGGAATATTTCCAACTTTAGGACTTTTCCTCTGTGTTGTTCTTCCCGTGCCCCTCAGGAACGTGGAGAAGAAGAAGAAGCTGCTGAAGAGGCTGGAGGAGCAGCTGGCCAGGCTGAATGTCCAGGCCACAGACAAGGAGGAGAACAAGCAGATAGCTCTGGGCACTTCCAAGCTCAATTACCTGGATCCCAGGATTAGCGTTGCTTGGTAGGTCTGGGATGTGAAGTCATGGAATGGTTTGGGGTGGAAGGGACCTTTAAAGCTCACTTGGTTCCATCCCCCTTCCACTAGCCCAGGTTGCTCCAAGCCCTGTCCAAGCTGGCCTTGGACACTTCCAGGGGTGGGGCATGATAGTGAATCCCAAATTATGGCTCCCACTTGACACAGATAACTGGATTTTAGGGCAAGAGGGGGTCCCTTGGCAAGTCTTCAACAGTGACCTGAAGTTATTGGCTTAAAGGAACTTGGGTTGGAGATGCTGCACCTGGAGTGGGGAGGGCACCGAATCCCAGAATCCCTGGATCCCTGAGGTTGGAAAAGACCTCCCAGATCATCAGGTCCAACCTGTGTCCCTTCACAGGTGCAAGAAGTTCGGGGTGCCCATCGAGAAGATCTACAACAAGACCCAGAGGGAGAAGTTTGCCTGGGCCATCGCCATGGCCAACGAGGACTTTGAGTTCTGAGCCCACTTCCACCTCAAACCCTTCAATCCCGCCCATCTGGTGCTGTTGGAAAGCTTTGTTTATTTTTTTCCCTCGTCCTGCAGGGGGTGAGGGGTTTGTCCAAGAGAAGAATTTGATGCCTTTTTGTGGGCAAAAGGTTTTGCTGATCATGCCCCTCCACCCTGAGTGACTTGGAGGGAATTTCTGGTTCCTCTTCGGAGCTGCCAAGTGCTTGGGATTTTATTTTCCTCTTTTTTTTTTTTTTTCTTTTCTCTCTGAAGTCTGGCAAGAAGATTAAATGAGAGCCTTCATTGTGCTGATGAACAAGCTGTGATTCAATCCTATCTCCTTGATGTGGTTGGAGCCCCTTTGGGAATTGTTTGGGTGGGAAGTACGAGGCGGCGACAGCACCAGAACAGCTTAAGCTGCTCTGTCACACCTGGGTTGGGTTGATGGGGGGGGTTGCAATGAGAGAAAGAGGGGAAAAAAAAATATCTCAGAGTTCTACATTTCAGGGGATTTTGTGCCCTTTCACCTCCAGGAGAGGAGAAAGTTGGGCAAGGACGTGAAATGGGAAAAAAATGCGGGAGGGAGGAGAAAGACGCCGGATTAAAAAGCAGCTTCACGTCACAGGGGGATAAAATTCACCTTGGCACGAGCCAAGGGTGGTTTAACCACCCCTGGGTGGGTAAATCTTGGTTCTGGGAGAGAACATCTCACTGAGGGATGTGGGGGCTTTTTTTAATCCCAAATTCCTTCGGTTGGCTCTCAGTTCCTCCGTGGCACAAATGGTCCAGGCACAGATTTTGGGAACGAGTCATTCCCTAGAAAACAGGCAGTGAGGGAAGATGATGCTGGGCCAGGCTCTGAGTGTGTTTGGGGGGAGGTGGTACCAACCTTTCTGGAGCTGTTGTTGCGTTGGGATGACATTCCTGCTGGGCGTGGAGCAGGCAAGGGACTGACGGCTTGTGCCACTTTCCACCTCATCAGCTGGTTTTTAGACCTAAATAAAAAGCGATACCAGCGTGTTCCTGGCAACATTCCTGCATCCCAGTGGCTGCCAGGTGTTGAACAAGCTGTTGGCTTGGCAGCAAAAGCCTTCTGGCACCTCAGGGCTGATGTTCAGTGCAAAGTTCCTGGTGCTTCCCACGTGTTCATCTGCAGCCACTTGTTCTTGTGTTTAAGCTGTTGCTGGGTTGGTTGGGAATTGGGGATTTTAAATGCATTTCTTTAAAACTGGGAGTGGTTTTTTTTCCCTGGGAATGGGTGACTGAAGGGTTTTTGGAGCTCCTCCAAGGTGTGGTTGTGCTGAAAGGATGTTCCTTGAGCCCCAGGTTGGGGGTTGTAGCTCTGAAACACGAGTAACTGGTTGGGTCTCCCAGAAGGTGGAGATGGTTTTCTGCCCACCTTGAAGGGCTTTCTGGCTTTCCAAAGTGGTCAAACTGAATATTTGCCGTTAGTTGGGGTGGAAAGTTTATTCCATCCCTGGAATTGTTGGGGTTGGAGAGGACTTGGAGCAGCTGGGATAGTGGAAAGTGTCCCTGCCTGTGACAGGGGGTTGGAACTGGATGAACTTAAAAGTTCCTGTCAATCCAAACCATTCTGTGATTCCATAAAATAAGGGCAAAATTCCAGCTGAATCCCTACAAAACCAGTGCTCCTGTCTCCCAGTAGCAGGAAAAAGAGGAGGAAGATGCAGTGGGCTGAGCACTGTGGGTATCTCAGTGTCCCTGTGGATGTTCCCACTGAACCGACAGATTATTTAATTTTTTTTTTTTTTTAATTTTTGTTTAGAATTTCCTAGAGGAAAAAGCTCTCTCACACATTCCACGTGAGAGAGGAGCTGCATCAGCAAGTGCAGCTGCAGGAGCTGGAACAGTTGGTGGTGGTGGTGGGGAAATGGAAATAAAATCCACCCCAGCCAGCAGATCCTGCTGCAGCTTTGGGGGGAAAGAGGTGACTTTTTGTCCTTGGCTTCTCCTCTGGCTGATTCCCAGATTCCCTGGGCTGGGTCAAGGGGGCTGGAAAGGTGGAGTGGTGGCTCATCCCACTTGATCCTGTGTCCATCCTCCTGCTGGTTTTGCTGGAATGGTGGTGGGACCTCCCAGCAGGGAACTCTGATGTGTTTAATCTACTGAACCAACAGATTAATCTACTGCTGACAAAATGACCCAAAATAACACTTTCTTAATTTGTGGCGAGCTAATAAAGCTTCCTAATCATCAGTGAGAGGGTGTGTCTATGAACCACACTCAAAACAAAGCCACAATCCCCCCAGAAGACACAAATCCAAACTTTACAGCTGGGAAGAGAAAGCAAAGTCCACTTCCTTAAAAGCAAACAATTAGCACACAGAACTTGTCATTTCTGACCCCAGAAAGGGGGAAGGGAGGCAGGTACATGGAAATCTTCCTCTATAATCTTTCCCCCCCACCCCCACCCCCCTTTTTGTACTCTTTTTTTTTTTTTTTTCTCCTCTGACTTTGGGTTGTTTGGATCCTTTTTTTTAATGGATAGATGACACAAATCTAAAGGTCCCCACGTTCCCTTTCTTGTTGCAGGATGTTTGGAAGAGGAGCTGTGGTGTCTCCACTCCATGTTTCAGTGTGTCCATGTGTTTATTCCCAGTGTATTGTGACCTTCTCAGCTTCCAGCAGAACCTGCTGCCCTTTTTTTTCCCTCCTCTTTGTTGTGTTGTGTCGTCACCACACAGCCCTGAGGGTGGGATTTCTCTCCCAGCCCAACATTTTGGGGGTTGTTTGTTGACTCCAAGCAACTCTGGCACGATCAGATAAACCTTCCTGGCACGTTCACCCCATCACCAACCCTGCAAATGCTCCAAAACAAAAAAAAAAAAACGTGTGGATGTGGCACTTGTGGTGCTGGGTTGATGGTGGACTTGATTTTAATTTTTTTTTTCCCAATTTTAACGAGTCCAGGATGTTTTAGGCACAGAAAAAAACAGGGCTTGGATGTCTAAAACTGTCATAGCCTAAAATCAGGATAAGAATGATATTTAGTGAAATGCAAAGTCAAAAGTGGAGCATTTTCCCATGGGGTTATTTCCTTTTTAATTTACAAAGAACTGCTTCGAGGCAAAGCCAGAAGTGGCACCTTCCCCTGGAACTTCTGGGGTTCCCAAAAACCTTTGGTCCAGAGAGGGGGGGGAGGAGACCTCGAGCCAAACCCACCAGGAACAAAAAGTTGACACTGGCACGAGTTTAGGGCTGTTCTAATCATCTAATAATGCTTTAAAAAAAAAACATCTGGGAATTTTGGGGAGTTTATCTCCCTCGCTGCAGGCTAGGAATGTCCTCCTCTGGGCAGCTCTGGTGGGAATTTCCCTGGATGCATCTTGTCACCAGCTGCTTGTCCAGAGCTGAACTTTCCTTGGAATCTGCTTCCTGGCTGTTTCCCCATCAGAAAGCTGAATTCAGCAACTTCATCCTCTCCCCCTTTCCCGCCTGTCCTGTTCCATGGGGTTGTTTATCCTCAAATCTGGGACTTGGAACTGAAAATCAAAGGATCCTGGACTGGTTTTCCTTGGAAGGGACCTTAAAGATCATCCAGTTCCCACCCCCTGCTGTGGGCAGGGACACCTTCCACTGTCCTGGATTGCTCCAACCTGGCCTTGGGCACTTCCAGGGATCCAGGGGCAGCCACAGCTTCTCTGGGAATTTTATTCCAGCCTCTCACCACTTTAAAGGGAAGAATTCCTTCCCAGTATCCCATCTCACCCTAGGAAATCATTCCCTGTGTGCTGTCCCTCCATCCCTTGTCCCAAATCCCTCTCCAGCTCTCCTGGAGCCCCTTTAGGCCCTGGAAGGGACTCTTAGGTCTCCCTGGATCCTTCCCTTCTCCAGGTGAACATTCCCAGGGCTGTGGACATCAGGAACCTTCCCAGCCAACAGGTTATTGATCCTCAGGAATGAATCCTCTTTTTTTTTTTTCCCAGAGCCACTTCCCAGAGCCTGGCCTTGGAAACACCGTTCCCCTGATGGGTGACCTGAATCCTGGAATTCCTTAGGCTGGAAAACACCTTCAGGTCCCTCCAATCCCCGCCACGTGCCGCTTTTCCAAGTCTTTTAAGCCCCTCCAGGGACGGTGACTCAGCTGCTGGGAGGAAGGACAGTCATCAGCTCTTTCATCTGCTCACACTGAGGAGACTGGGAGAGATTAGGTTGTTTGTTTGGTTGGGTTTTTTTTGGCTGATTCATCTCAGTCGGTGCAGAGGGAGGAGTTGGGTTGGGATGAAAACCCCTCCTCGACTGCTGAACTGCTGGATCTGCTCCAGATCCGCGGGGAAGGAACTGGGAGTGGGAAAAGCCTCCCGTGAAGATTTGAGGGAAAGCAAGGGGAAGGCTTTTTAGAGGGTTCCTCCTCCCCTTCTTTCTTGTGGGAGGTCTGATGTTGCAAAAATAAAATAATAATAAAGATTAAAAAAAAAAAAATAGCGAAAAAAAATATCAGGTTTGTGCCCTGGGAAGGAAAACTGACACTTGCCATGGGCTCAGGAAGGAGGTGGCTGCACATCCAGGGTGTCCCACTGGGAATGAGGGTATAACACCCAGCCTGGCTCTTCCTAAAGTTGCTTTTTAGCCCCTAATAGTGGTTTTGCTTTTTTTTTTTTTGGCCAGGGATTATTCAGATCAAAATAAAAGATCGGGCAGGGCTCGGCTGAGCTTGTCCCAGGCTCCAGGAATGGCTTCTCCAGGCCTGAGAATCCTGAGATCTCTGCAAGCTGGGACAGGAGAAATCCCAGTAAATTACTTAGTTAATATTCTTAATCCCAGTCTGGATTAAGCTGCAATTATGATTGATTGGCTTGGCTGAGAAATGAGCCTCGGGATAAATTGCTCTCCCAGCTGCAGGAGGGGGCAGAAGTTCCTTCTGCTGCCATGAGCCTGGAAAGGGAGGGATTGTGGGACCTTGGAATGGTTTTTGGGTTGGAAGGGAGCTTAAAAATCATTGTCTTCCAACCCCCCCCTGCCGTGGGCAGGGACACCTCCCACTATCCCAGGTTGTTCCAACCTGGCCTTGGACGCTTCCAGGGATGGGACAGCCACGGCTTGTCTGGGAATTCCATCCCACCCCTCCCCGCCAAAAATTCCTTCCCACTATCCCACCTAACCCTGCCCTC